GCATTTTTTATATATTTTTCATATATACATATATACGATTTATATAAATATATGAAAAATTGATGTGGGTACTCAAATGAAAGGTCTCGATGAGTGTGACATCGGGCTGAGCTTATATCTTTAAAAACGTCAATAGTTACGAAATGATTTTGTATTTCGTGAACTATTGACATTTTTAAAGATATAAGCTCATCCTGATGTTATACTCATCAAGACCTTTCGTTTGAATACCCACATCAATTTTTCATATATTTTATATATTTATATATATTACATATATCTATATATGAAAAATATATCAAAAATGCATGTGGGTACTCAAATGAAAGCTCTTGATGAGTCTAACATCGGGATGAGCTTATATCTTTAAAAGTGTCAATAGTTAAAAAGTACAGCTTAATTTAAAAAAAGTCATTATTGACTGCAAGGTTGCTAGTAGACTTTTAAAATAATCACAAACCTGGAGCTGGGGCTGAATGAGATGGTGGATGGTAACTTCCAGAACTAGGTCGGCTGTGGACTTTTCCTGAGCTTTTAACTCTCCCAGCGTCAATACCTAAAAATCAATAATTACCATTAGTTAATTAAATTGTGACGATCATATGACATTAAAGTTAGCAGTCACTTGACTATTTTTTAATTTTATCCCCGTTAAATTAATTTTCATTCAAATATTATCCAACAAAACTTTTACATAAAATTTTTACGTAAACTCGCGTGAATAAAATAATTTCAAAACTTTTTTTTGCAACTAAACAAAACAATAAAATTAATAGTATGCACGCGTCTTGGAAATTCTCTACTTTGTCATAAATTAACTGTAATTTATAAACTTTCTCTTAACTACTCTATACATCTACACCCGCCAAGGCTAGATAAGAAATCCAGGAAAAAAAAATTATAATTCTCCAAGAATAAATAAAAAAATAAAAAAAAGATCTATAAAAACGCCATCAAAAGTATGCCCTTGAAATCTCAAGGGCTGTACCAGTTCCGTGAACCGATACAAGGCTGTAATGTAGTTTTTGAATATTCATATATTTTTGACATTGAAAACTCAATAACAAAACATCACAACCACTACAACAAAAAATTATTTTTTATTATTTTATTTCTTTAAATCAGTGGCCTCGATTAATTTGTTAAAAGTCTTAAACTTTCTAGAAAGATGATTGACTTTCTTTAAATTTGGCTTAACCTCAGTCTTGCAAATTATTAACTAAATAATAAATTATTTATTTATCTAGATAAAAAAATAAAATTTAAATAAATTTTATAAAAATAGAATAATAATAATTATCTTACATGATGAAATAAGTAAAATCATTGAAAAACAGCTCCATATTTTAAACTCCATTTGTCGACACTTATTATTTAAATGCAAAACGCAATTGCTGATGAGTAAATTCAAGGTTAATTGATAAATTAACAGCAAACAAAATTAATGTAGTTTAGAAAATAAATTCTTTAAATTTACGTAAACGTTATAGTAACAACACTAAGTACACTAAACAACTGTGGTCAGTGATGTGATGTGACTGAAGGAATGAATCATGCGTATAGTATAAGATGTACTTCAGTTCTGTGCATGTTAGTCTTTGAGCTTGGTTTCTGGGAAGGGGCTCCTACGTCGAATACAAATAATTACGACAGCATTGACGTCACTAAAAACAGCAAATAACAAAAGTTGTTTTATATCTGATCCGTGGATGAGGAATTATCTGTTTATGACAATTCTGATCTAAGCCAACCAACCACATTAATTAATTTATAAAATAGATAAGAGTTTGTAGTTTATATTACATTAGTAATTACTTTATTAAATATATTTAGTTATGCTAGGTCGTTGTTTTATCAGACTATCTTGTACCACTCCACGTTTTAATTATTTTAATTATTAATTGTGGTTACAGAATAAACATTTAGAGTAATGAAATGTTCTTTTATGTGTAACAAATTTTATTGTTATTCTTTTCTAGCTTTATTTATTTATAGATACATTATTTTGAGTTTCACTAGTGGAAAACTTCAACAGATTAGTTTTTTTGGGTGATGTTGTACTCGACGTTGGGATCTGAAAAAAATAAAAATTATTTTTATTTTAGCTTATTAGATTTTTAAAAATTCAAGCGAATTTTTATAAAATTATTGATAATGTTAGAGTTAGCCGACGTTTTTAATTTTTTTTTCATTAATTAAATTAGAATAAAAAAATGCACTTGCAGCTTTTCAGGTTTTTTATGAATGAAATTTTTTTTTGTAATAATTTTTTCAATAAAAAATTTTCAAATGTTGACTAACTTAATTTTCATAAAATCTTGAATGAAAATCAAGTTAGCCGACATCTAAAAATTAAAAAATTTTTTTTTAATAGAAAAAATTAATACAAAAAAATTTTATTTGTAAATAACTTTAAAAACTGTAAGTGCAATTTTTAAAAAATATTTTTTTGGTCTAATTTAATTATTAAAAACGTCGGGTAATTTTATTATTATTAATATTGATAATAATATTTTTGATTTTGATTAAAAAAGCTGGAAATATTTTTACTACTCAAATCAGCTGACTATTTTGATTTTTAAATATAAATTAGTATTAAGGACCAGTTTTTCAACCCGGAGTTTTTATTTAACCACAATTTAATCCAAAATTTTATTAAAATTGATTTACCTGACATTTAATAGTTTTTTTTTTTTAATAAATAAATTGTGACAAAAAGAAATTAAAAAAAATTAAAAATGCAATTTTTTGGTCCAAATTTGTTTGTTAAATAAAATTAATATGTCTAGTGTCTTAAATTTAATGTCATAAATTTTTTAAAAAATTCACTTGAACTAAAAAAATTCTAAGATTATTAAAATTACCTTCGAATTTAAATTTAGGGAATTGAGTCATATCAACTCCAGGACCACCTCCGTATTGAGTTGCGAGTCGCTCCAAATCGCTTTTTAATTCATTCTGGATTTCAGGAGTTGGGTCGACTAATTTTCCACCTCTGAAATAAAGACAGATAACCTATGAAAATTTTACTCTGACAAATTGAATTAATAATCATTAAAATACATGATAATAATAATTACTAATTGATAATTATTATTGAAAATAAAAAATGAATGATCCTTACGAGCTTTTTGATTTGTATTCACGGATTTTGTCCAAGAATAATTGCTGGATTGGGTCAGAAACTTTGTTCATGCATGGTGCCATCATTCCAATGTTTCTTCGGACAATTGTCGAGACTGTGATCGCTTTTGGGGTCAACATGATTGCTTCTAAAATAAATAAAAAATTAAATAATTAATTATAATTCACTTTTATATTTTTTTTAGATGTGCAAAAAAATATTCAATAAAATTTATTTATCTTATGTAATACTAAAATTTTGTGATAAAAAATTTTACATTTTTTAACTGCACCCAATAAAAAAATTAGTTTAGAATTATTGAATATTTTATTGCAATTTAATTTATTGGAATAATTATAAAATCTAAGTAAAATTTAATACAATTACCTTTTTTTGGAGATCAATCAGTTGTGATCAGCTGCGATTTTAAATATGGCGACCGTGTACTACTCTGGTTGAAAACATGTGCCCTCTGTTGGAGAATTTAACGCGGTAAATTTGACATTTTTTATGAAATTAAAATTTACAATTTTTTTAATTACAAAATTTTTTTAATAAACTAAAAATTAAAACATTTTAAATTAAAAAAAATTATTTTTTTTCAATAAATAAAAAAAATGTTTCTTAATAACTTTTTAAAATTATAAAAAGAATTTTATTAAAAAAAAAAAATGTCATTTAAAAAATGAGTTCTTAATATGGAGAAGTGATTCTGTGAACGACCACTAGAGGGACAAAATATAAAACTTAAAACTTGTAACCGACAAAGACATGATAAGTGTTAGCGCGCTAGAAAGCAAAGTTAAAATAAAAAAATAAAAATGTGCCAATAAAAAAAATAATATAATAATAATAATAATAATAAAAATGTGACAAAATAATTCCGGGAGTGAAAAATAAATAAAAACTTTACAGTTTACGCGAATTAATAAATACACTCGCGTCAAAAATGAAAATTAAGTCAGCTGACATTTAAAAATTTTTATAATGAAAATTAATTTAGCAGGTATTTAATAATTTTTCTAATAAATAAATTACTGCATGAAAAAAAATTGACATTTAGAAAATTTAATAAATTAAAAATGCAATTTTTTAAAAATAATTTCTCGGAAAAAATTTTTTTTGTTAAATAAAATTAAAAAATGGTCAAGTGACAGCTAACTTTAACATGGAAATTAAATTAGCCAATATTTAAGAATTTTAAGAATTTTTTTTTGCTGAACAAATTACTAAAAAAAATTTTCATTTGTAAAAAACTTTAAAAACTGGAAGTGCAATTTTTAAAAAATATTTTTTGTTCTAATTTTTTCAATAAAAAAAAATTAAAAACGTCGGCAAACTTTATTATTAATGAAAATAAAGTTAGAGCCGACATTTAAAAATTTATATGATTGTTTTATTAAAGAATTATTACAAAAAAATTATTTCATTTGTTAAAAACTTAAAAAACTATAAGTGCAATTTTTTAAAAATATTTTTTAGTTATTTAATAAATTAAGCAACATAAAAAAATTAAAAATGTCGGCTAACTTTATTATTATAAATTAATTTAGCAGATATTTAATAATTTTTCTAATAAATAAATTACTCCATAAAAAAAATTGACATTTAGATAATTATTATTATAAAACTTTAAGTGTAATTTTTAAAAAACAATTTTAAAAAATTAAAAACGTCGGGTAATTTTATTATTATGCGTAAAAGTAGAGGGAGAAGATGAAGAAAGAGAGAATATAAAACGAGAGATAAATGTTTTCAGTTTAGTTTGCTTGACACATCACATACTCATTCTCTCACACACATTCGAACAAAGCGTATAACCGAGTAAATTGGCGGGGGTAAATTTCGTTAAAGTTAGTGAAGGCTAGGCTTAACTTCCATCTCCCTCCCGGGCATTCTCAGTTTCATTCATGAACCCACCAGCACCAGCACCAGCACTGAGACTCGTTGCCACGCTCTTATCTTCACTCTCGGTTCTCGGTGCTGAAAATAAAAAACATTAACATTGTTATATTTATATATTATATATAATATTCATTATTGTAGTATTAGTATAACTGTTACTTTTATTACTTGACACATCTGACATTTTTTTATTTTTATCCAAACATATATTAGTGCGAGTGAAAAGTATCTATGTGATAATAAACCTTGTGTATTAATTGTTAAGTGCATACTTCTCGGACAACTAGCTTCTATACGATTTTACAATTATCTGGATATCGTTCTACATTAATTACAAAGGTTAACTATTTATTTTAATTATTATTATTATTAATACATATAAAGATATTTATACTAGTGAAGTATAAAATTCATTTTTTTGAATTGCAATAATTAATTAAAAACCCAGCCAGCAAAAGTGACAATTGGTAAAAATAAAAACAACTAAGCATGATTATTATTTATTTTTTACTCATATTATAATAGTGAGTCACTAAGTAATACATATTGGTAATTCTCTAATCATACGGTAAATATATTATATAATTTTTTTAAATTTTATTTTTAATATTTTTATTTTTAATTAATAATAATAAAGTTAGCCGATGATTTTAATTTTTTTTTTTTAATAATTAAATTATGATAAAAAATTATTTTTAAAAAATTGCACTTACAGTTTTTAAAGTATTTTACAAGTGAAATTTTTTTTTTAATCATTTTTTGAATAAAAAAATAATTCTAAAAATTTTTAGACGATTTTAATTTTTTGATTTTTTTTTTTTAATTAAATTATAACAAAAAATTATTTTTTAAAAATTGCACTTACAGTTTTTAAAGTGTTTTACAAGTGAAATTTTTTTTTTTAATAATTTTTTCAATAAAAAAATTTTTAAATGTCGGCTAACTTAATTTTCATTTTTAATTCTATTAATATTTTTATTTTCAGAGGTAAAAATTTGGTTGATTAAAAAAAGACTAATTATAACTAACAAACAATTAGTAAGTTAAAAGATTTTTAAGTAAATGGACAATTTATCAATTAATATTCGTGATTTAAAATCGCGTGTTAACAATTCATCATTAAATACGTCGACTAATCTTACCGTCGACGGTGAATCATAATAAAACGCTTAAAATAATTTTATTAACTATAGATCAATTACCTCCAAGCCATTTGTATCAATAATAATTTAATAATCGAAAAAACAACTCGTAAAATCGTTTCTTTCTTTTTATTAATTAGTAATTTATTTTTTCTGTTGTCAGTCGACTTATTTATTTATGGATTGTTTTATTGAAAAATGAAAAATAAGCTTAGTGTTTTAAAGAAGTAAAGGAAGAAACTTTAAAAAACGTCTCAAGTTCCCTGGACCTTTTGGTATGGCAACGTCGCGTTAATTCTTTCTTTTTCTTTTTTACGGCAATGGCGTTGTCTGATACACTCTGGTCTCTACTCTGGTATAGAAGTAAACGCTTCAAAGCTAAACTAATATGAAGGCATTACTACATATAATATAATACAGTGTGCCAGCAAAGCATCTGAAAGCCCATACCGGACGATTCAGATGTGATGTACGATGGACTGAGAATAGATAATAGTGGGGGCGAGTTTACAGTTTTTACAGAATACTTTTTCTTTTTTCGGCATTTTCACTTTATTTACTTTTGAAATTTCTTTAGTCTAGATTCGGGCCAGTTTTGTATCAAGTTAATGCAAGTATAATATTTATATATTACTTGCAATCTTATCTGATACATTTATTAATCCATATAATTTTCAATGATCTCGTTTGTTTCTATGTTTCTCTTGCTAATATGTGAATGCTTGCTTTTGTATATTATTTAAAAATTTTTTTATTTTTAATTTTTACTCCAAAGTTTTGCATTGCTCCATATTTTTGCTGAATTGAAACTAATTTTATTTAATTAAAAATATCAGCTTAGAAAATTTTTTTAGTAAATAAATTATTATAAAAAAATTAAATGAAACATTTTGTATTTGAAAAAATATTAGTAGAATTTTTTAATAATATTTTTGGTAATTATTATAAAGAAAAAATAAAGATTTCGATAGCTTTTTTGCCTCCAAAAGTTGGAATAAATTTTGGCTCTCATGTTTTTGGATAAAATTTCTATTTTGTCTTTTTTTTTATGTATATTTTTTTTTTAAGTAAATAACAAAACATGATACTGAAATTGAGTCATAATTTTTAGAATTTTCTAACAAATAAATTATAGCAAGAAAAATTTATTAAAAAAAATGGTATCTTAAGAAGCTCCAAAAAATTGTAAATACATTTTTTTTAAAACAATTCTCTGAACTTAATTTTTTAAGAAAAATCAAAAATTTAAAGGAAAAAATTTTGGCTCTCATATTTTTGGATAAAATTTCTATTTTATCTTTTTTTGATGTTATTAATATATTTTTTTTTTTTGTAGAGTTCATAAAAGAACAAACAATTTAAAAAAAAAATTTAATATCACAATTTTCTAAAAATTTGTTAAAATTTTTATAATCAACTTATTTTTTTAAACTGTTCATTTTTTTTTATGTATTTTTCAAAAAAAATATATCAATAAAATTAAATAGAAATTTAGTTCAAAAAAATGAAAATTAAAATTATAAATATTTACCAAATTTTTTTTGTCATAATTTAATTAAGTTTTTATGTAAAAAAAATATGAAATTTATTTTTTTTTATAATTCATAAAATATTTTATCTTCCGAGTCTAAATTTCAATATTTTATCAAAAATAAATTCAATTTAAATTTCTATTTAAAAAAAAGCAAATATTAAACGAAAATAACTGTATTTAATATTTATTTAAAAGTAACATTTAAAACAAAATTTCAAAGGTGGTCCCGACAAAAAAAATCTCAGATGACCGCCTTGTTTTAGGTGTAGAGAGTCTTCGGATGTAGTAGTATTGGGTTCTCGGTTAAATTGCATCTAGAATGTCTGCATGCGGGTGGCTTTTGTTATGGGCTTAGCTCTTGAGACAATTTTTAAAATTTTTTACTTTGTACTCCCTGAAAGTGTCGTATGGTTTCAGTTTCACCAAGAATATGTATCATCATCATTATTATTATTATTATTATAAATTATAATATTGTGCTGACGAGAATGCGTTGGGAAGTAATATTTTAATTTTTCGGGTTAACTTATTTTATTCCTCACAATTCAGTATTGTTATATGATTG